CGTGTTAGTGATAGATCTAGAAGAAACTAAAAATTTAACTAGAAAATCCCCACAGATGCCGCCAAATTGTTTGACCAAAAAGTGTAACCCTTAGCTCAAATAATTAAATTTATGTACTAAGGGGTTAAACCTAGTTAACAATAATATTTCTATATGCGAGTTCCGAAAGCGTGACTAACGTTGGACAGATCTGGTAGAAATATGATAATGATGTGCAATAATCATTCAAAGTAATGTGAGCAATAATAGAGCATTAAATAACAACGAACAATAATAAATGACATTTAAGTAAATAGAAGGAATGATTCACCAAATAAAGGAGGAACTAGGTGGTTATTACTCCTAACAATGATGAATGACAGACAAATCCTTGAATGTTTGAATTATCCTCAGATCTGGTGGAAAGTATAGAATAATATAGACAACAATCTTGGTAAAAATGTGATGTTTGTATCTTAGTAAGAGAGAGAGAAAATCTTTTGTCAAAGTGTGTTCTTATAAATGAATATCACATGCCTCACATTATTGCCCCCTCTTTATTTCTAACAAACCCTAACAGTACAAACTGCAGAGAATATTCGCTAGAATATTTTCTTTAATATCTTATTTCGAAAACTAACTTATACAGGTTCATCAGTGATGCTCGACCTCAACCATTGTCGTCATCTCGACCACGACTCCCGTCGACTCTTCCGCTGCAAGTATTTCTGCTTCCTGGCCCACCTCGGCTAATGACGACTCAAGACTCCCTCCTTCTGTGTAATCTTATTTCGAATAGTACTATGAGGCAGATTTCAACCCTTACACATATGCCAAACGTTCCGAAGCCTTATGGCTCTCCCCAGAAATTCATAAGTAGCAGCAAAGTTGGTTGGTGGACAGCCGATATCACATTTAAATAGACCTCTCATTATTTTTTTATAGAAATAAAAAGTCTTTATATTAGTCAAATCATCACCAGATCCGCACATAGGTGTAATTTTAGTACCATCATTAGTTTTTATAACATTTCAAACGCTGTCCTTTTAATTTACTCAACCATGATCAGCTTCCAATTTATTCATTTTGTCATTGCCGAATAAACCTATCCAGTGAATGCAAAACATTGGTATACAGCAATTTTCGGAGCTTCACGTTCTCTTTTGCTAGTAAAAGACACACTTTAGGAAATGTTTGATCACTGCAAGAAAAGTTTGAATTATTTGAGAATTTTACCTGGAAATTTTTTCTGCATGAATTTTCTACGGATTTTCATGCGGATATCTAAAATTCCTAAATTGATGAATACTTTACCTGCAAAAATTATTTTTCCAGGACAATTCCTATGTAAATTTGGCGCCACTTTGCGCCAAAATATTACCTGGAGAATTATTTGGAAATTTTTTCTGCAAGTACCATTTTCATAAGTAAATCCGAAAGTAAATGAATAATAATGAATTCCTTTATTAATTCGTAGGAAATTCCCTAGGTAAAGCTACCTGCGAATTTAACTGCGGATCGTTACTAGGGAATTCACTTGGGGATTGTTTTACTTGGAAAATTTCCTAGGGATTATTGATTTGCGAAATTCCTGTTGAGGTAATATTGTTTAAACATAAACTAAATTGTTTATTTTTTATTAACGTAAGTATAGTTTTTAAGTAGAACAAAATATACAATTACATTTATCATTAACATCATTAATTTATAAGTGAGACTTAAGTATTGAGTGATCTTCTAACTTAAATATAGTAAATATTATGAGTGAGAATTAAGTATTGAGTGATCTTCTAATATTATTTTTAAGTGTACTTTTGATTAACTTATAATATTATTGAACTATCTGAATATTTTGTTCGTGTTGTAATTGGCAAAATAATTTTTATCAATTGCATAGTCATGTAAAGTGTGTTTAATTCTTGTTTAGAAAAATTATTACATAAAGATTTAATGCATTATTCAAGGTATATAATGTCTCATTATCAGTTTTTTTCTTTTTTAAGACTTCTAATTCCCAAAATTGTATTCTTGTTCTTTTTTTTAAAAGAAAAAAATACATTTTTGAACAGTCAATTAATTCTTAAAGAAACGATCATAATTCAATCCACCTGGTTATACTTGAATAAAAATTTTGTTTTGTGGATTTTTGAATTCATGCTCGAGATATATTTCTTAAAAAAAATGAAAAAAAAATGTATATATAAATTTTCATCTTGATTTAATGAATTGAAATTTTTTGAAAGAAATGGCTTAGGTCTGTCCCACTCCGGATAGAGACAATAGGATATGGGCATTTTTAGTGACCGGCTTCCAAGAATCAAGCGTAGTCAACGAAATTCGTTGTCAAGAGGATGCATTTGATTTTCTACACGGGGAATACTGCCTTTTCGCGAACATTTGCCAACGAATTTACTTGCATTTTTCCCTGTAAAAATCCACAAGAAATTCCTTTTTCTCAGAATGTTTACCAAAAGTTTCTTGCGGATATTTAATGTTTCTTGCGATACAATCTGCAGGTAATTTATATGCGGATTCAAAATTCCAAATACGTTACATGGGGATTTCAAAATCCGAAGGTTTTTCCATCGAAATTTTTTTCGTAAGAAAATCCGCAGGAAACTAAATTACATGTGAATTTTTCTGTATAATTCCTAAGAAAATTCTCATATAATTCACAATTTTCTTGTAGGGGATGTGTAAGAAGTCAAAGATGTGCATCAAAGGAATTTAATTTGGCCTTAAACTCAGAAGGCAAATTATGTATTCTGCCTAAATATTAAGGCAATATGTTATTATACTTTGCTCTTTTATTTTCGAGAAGCAAAAGAATGCCGAGAGTAGAAATATATTGGCATACTTTTTTTCTTTCCAAACAGTTAAGTATAAATTACAATTATGCTAACTGAAACATTGGAGACAAAACTTTTCACGAACTGTATAAGCTACTCTATAGTTTGCAAGCAACCTTCTTTGAATTGGTTTCCCATAATTTCTTCTTTTCAAACACTTGACCAGCATGTATATTATTAGAGGTGGAGTCAGGATTTGAAATTTATGAGTTCGAGATATTAATTCTTTTAAGTTATTGAGTTCTAAATTAATAACTTTTACACATTCTAATAATTTCTTAAAACAAATATCGGGTTTAGGATAAAAGTTATTGGGTTCGGCTGAACCCGTAACTCATATTCTAGCTCCGCTGTATAAACACATCAAACTAGATCTCTTATGGGTAAAAATAGCACGGACTAGCCAGTTTTCGGACTGGTCATTCAAAAATAGCCAGCGTTTGCCAAGTCATTGAAAAATAGTCACTATTTTGCTGCAACAGAGACCGGTCCAGCATAATATACTGGGATTCGATGCACATGTGTATGGACTTCCAGCATATTATGCTGGAACTCCAACACGCGGAAAGTTCCAGCATAATATACTGGAGATTCAAGCATTTGTGTATGAACTTCCAACATATTATACTGGACTGATATACTTTGCTGGAACTCCAGTATATTATGCTGGAGTTCTAGTATACTTATGCTGGAACTCCATTATATTATGCTGGATTTCCAGTATACTTATGCTGGAACTCCAGTATAATATACTGGAGTATTTTTCGGATTTTGAACAGTGTTTTCGTTCAGATTAATCTTTACATGAAAAGTGGCTAAATTTCGACTACTTTAAAAGTGTATCTATTTTTGAATGGTCACTTGTAAATCTGACTATTTTTGAATTTCTTTCCTCTTTTGGAGAGATTTGAACCCTCTACTAACTTGCTAGAATTTTTTAATTGGAGGATATTGAACAGCGGTAGGATTAGGGAGGAGGAACTTTCATATGAAAAGAAGGAAAAAGATTTATATCACAGAATTTTCAAATGTCAACTGTTAGAAAATTATAAATTAGTACTACAATTAATGACCGTTGAAAGAGAAACAATGATCACCTAAATAATGTTCTCCCAAATCTTGGCCATGCATTTTCCTTTCACTTTTCCCATTCGGTATCTGAGAGTTACATAGCCCCAACTAATATGAATTTGTGTCGCGTGAGAATAATTAAAGGAGAAAGCGTTTTTTTTTATTCCTAAAATTCGAATTTGAAATCTCCTATTAATAATAGAAAGATATTGTTCATAAACTTTATGCTTGTGTACCATTTGATATCACTATTAGATGCTAAAGGCTAAAAATTTCAATCACACTCATCAAGGCCAAAGGCATTTTAAAGCATTATCTTATTTTTTTAATTTCTTTTTTTAAATATTAGTTTGACCGAAGAGCTGAAAATATCGTAAAATATCGACCATCTCCAAAAGCTTATCTAATTAGTCTATTTGGTTGTACAATTACGTACGAATAAGCAATGACGAATATTTTCACAAATGTCAAATATTTTCTCCATTTATTTCAATTATTGTCCCATGCATTTTTTCTTTGGCTAAATTTTTGTCAACATATTACTCCATTAATAACCATCAACATACCCGAATTGTCAAATATTGGAATTAATAAATTCTAAAGAAGTATAAGACAGTTGCAATAATTCTGAGTCAGTTGACATTATTGTTTAGTCCTTAAATCATTGAGCCTCAACGTCAATTATTACTTTGTATTTTTCAGATTGTATAATCTTGAATATACAATTGTGAAGCCGACAAACAAAATTAAATAAGTCTATCGTTGAACTTCAGATATATCAAATTGATAGGGTAATATAACCTTTGTATCCTCGTCATTCCTTTCCCTTAAATTATTACACACACGTTATGCAACTCTAACCAGTTTACATCAAGGATTTCAGTTATATACTAGTTAACATTGTCAAAAAAAATATATATTATAAATATAATTTAATCAATTATAGCATATTACTAACTATTGATTTATCAATTAATTAATACTTGTTAAATAAGATTGATTGATAATTAACTTATAGAATATTTTGATAATATAAATATTGTTATAACATCAACACATAAAACTAAAACTCATAGACATAAAAATAAAAATTGTGCAAGAAATTTTTTTTTTTTGGGGGTTTTGCTAAAATACAAGCTTACCTTTTCCTCTTAAGGAGGAGTCAAACTTTCTGTTTAGAATTTCTTCAAGTTGGAAGCCGCCAGTTTCCTTTCTTATCCTCTTTATCTTCACATTACAGCAATTTTTTTGTTAACATTAATACGTGGGGAACCTTCCTAGTTCCTTGACTTTAGACACAGATCATTAAAAATTGTTTACACTTGTTGTAATATTTGACCAAGTATGTCTTGTCAAAATTTACCTGGTGACTACAATGATATCTCCCCCTTTTTCTCTGTAAACACCTGCTTCTCGTAATTCTATTCTTCATTAAAGTTGCCTGTGCTTCAATCTTAGAATGAACCAAGACCTAAAAACTCTTCTTCTCTACCTGCTGATAACTATACTATTTTCTAGTATTCAATCAGTTTCAGCTATTGATTTTGTCTTCAATGGCTTTAAACCATCAGATATATCACTGTATGGGAATGCTACAATTGAATCTCGAATACTTACTCTTACAAATGACTCAACTTTCTCAATTGGCAGAGCTCTACACCCTTCAAAGATTGTCACAAAAGCACCTAATTCATCCCAAGTTCTTCCCTTTTCAACATCTTTCATATTTGCAATGGCTCCTTTTAAGGATAGGCTACCAGGACATGGCATAGTTTTCTTGTTTGTGCCACAAACAGGTATTGATGGTACTACTTCTTCACAGAATTTAGGTTTTTTGAACTTCACAAATAATGGGAATCCTGATAATCATGTTTTTGGGGTTGAGTTTGATGTTTTCAAGAATCAAGAATTCAATGACATAAATGATAACCATGTTGGAATTGATGTCAATTCTCTTGCATCAGTCTTTGCTCATGAAGCTGGCTATTGGCCTGATAAGTACAATAAGTTTAGTGATGATGGTAGCTTAAATGAAGAGTCTTTCGAGACTTTAAAGTTGAATAATGGAAGAAATTACCAAGTTTGGATTGACTATGCAGATTTCCACATTAATGTGACTATGGCACCAGTTGGTATGAAAAGGCCTAAGCAACCTTTGTTGGATCTTCCCCTCAATCTTTCTCAGGTTTTTATGGAAGAGATGTATGTGGGGTTCACTGCTTCCACTGGAGATCTTGCTCAAGGTCACAAGATTTTAGCTTGGGGTTTTAGTAACTCAAATTTTTCGATAAGTGATGCTTTGATCACGCAGGGGTTGCCTTCATTTGGGCTGCCTAAAGATCCAGTTCATCGATCGAAGGGATTCATTGCAGGTATTACAGTGTCACTTTTGTTTCTTATTGTGGTCACTGCTGTAGTTTCATTGTTTCTCATAAAGAGAAATAGGAGAATGAAAAGGGAAAGAGAGGATATGGAAGATTGGGAATTGGAATATTGGCCACATAGGATTAGTTATCAAGAAATTGATGCTGCAACAAAGAGTTTTGCTGATGAAAATGTGATTGGAATTGGAGGTAATGGGAAGGTATATAAAGGGGTTTTGGCTGGGAGTTCAGAGGTTGCAGTAAAGCGCATTTCTCATGAAAGCAGTGAAGGGGCAAGGCAATTCTTGGCTGAGATTTCAAGTCTTGGTAGGCTAAAGCATAGAAATTTGGTGTCACTAAGAGGTTGGTGCAAGAAAGACCGAGGCAGCCTGATTTTGATTTATGATTATATGGAAAATGGGAGCTTGGATAAAAGGCTGTTTGAATGTGAAGTGACAAACATGTTGAGTTTTGAAGACAGAATTAGGATTTTGAAAGATGTGGCATCAGGAGTTCTATACTTGCATGAGGGATGGGAGGCAAAAGTGTTACATAGGGATATTAAGGCTAGCAATGTTTTACTTGACAAGGACATGAATGCAAGACTAGGTGATTTTGGTCTAGCCAGAATGCATGATCATGGTCAAGTGGCTAACACGACTCGAGTTGTTGGCACAGTAGGTTACTTGGCACCAGAGTTTGTCAAGACGGGCCGTGCCTCTACACAAACTGATGTGTTTGGATATGGAGTTTTAGTTTTGGAGGTGATGTGTGGAAGGAGGCCTATAGAGGAGGAAGGCAAGCCCCCTTTATTGGATTGGCTGTGGGAACTAATGAGACGAGGCGAATTGATTAATGCCTTTGATCGTCGATTAAGGATCAATCAGGATTTTAATGAAGAGGAAGCCTTAAGAGTATTGCAATTAGGCATGATATGCGCGAGCATGGACCATAAAGGTAGGCCAACCATGAGACAAGTAGTGAAATTCTTTGAAAGGAACAGTGAGGTTGATGAATCTGAAGCTGAGGATATGGATGTTTACCTTCTGGAGAGTTTGAGATCTAATACCATGTTGTCCAATTTTTCCTTAAGTTTGAGCCATGGTTCACACCCAACATTTGAAGAAATTAGAGAAGGTTTGTCTTCTTCTATGTCTATTTCTTGGACAAATTCTTTGGTGGAAGGTAGGTGAATTTTACACATCTCTGCAGGCTGCAAAGAGGAATGGTTGGTTTTTGATCATCACTCTGCTTGAACTCTTGGTACCTGCATTTCCAATACTTTCAGGGCCTAGCATTACTTGAAATGGTAGTGCTGCTTCATGAACATATTTATAGGTTGGCTAAGGAAAAAGGGTTGGTTTTGAGATATACATGTATTAGTCATTTCTTTTTTTATACCTTGATACTAGTTGCAGTGGAAGAATTTGTTCTCTTAGTTTTAGTTTCCCCCATAAGAGAATCTGTTCCTTGTCTCTTTTATTTCCACTAGCTATGTTGATGATGTACATATATGAAACTCATAGTATGGTGTTTATACTTATTCTTGATTTGCTTGGTTGGAACATTTCATAAAATAGGAGTAAGATGGCAAACAAGAAGCACCAGTGGTCTAGTGCCTAGTGATCTGGTGCATATATCTGTTGGGCAAGGGTACTGCTCCCAAGAGAAAGCCAATTTCCTTTTAGTTCCACAAGAGAATGTGTTCCATATCTTTTTTATTTTCCAGAAGATATGTTGATGATGTACATATGTGAAACTCATAGGATGATGTTTATAATTAAATTATCTTGATTCGCTGTGTCGGAGCATTTCATAAATGATTTATTTTAACTTATTAAATAAGAGGATTATGTCACATAACAAGCACCAGTGGTCTAGTGGTAGAATAGTACCCTGCCACGGTACAGACCCGGGTTCGATTCCCGGCTGGTGCAAAATTATTTTGTTATAAGGATAAAGCCTATTTTCTTTTATTTGAGTTTGAGGATTCCAAATAGGTTTCTAAAGACGAAGCCTGCTTTTGTTAAAGAGGCTAGAATCCATGATTTGTGGATCGTTCTTTCATGTTGCGGATCAGTTCTCTGCTATGCTCAATAGGCCTCAATAAAGTTGACCCATTCAAAAAGAGAGAAAAAGAACTTGTCTAAGATTAGCCACTGTTTTTTTGAGTATGGTGCACAAATAATGATTTTTATTTTACGCCATTTCTTTTCTCAGTCGATCACAATGAGACTGTGAAATGAGAACCTTGGTCTTGCAAATTTGTTCATTTTTTGGTGCCTCACTACATTTACTCCTTCATTCCCTAGTTTTCCTCTAAAATTGAAGATTTCAAGTCAAATTGACTGTGCTTATAAAGTTGGAAATTTTACATATAACAAAGGTATACACCTTATTTATTATAAACCAAAATTATTTTAAAATATTATTTTTTATAGCTACCTTTTATATTTTATAGCAAAATAGGTATTTACGTATATAGTACCACTGAGGCATGAAATACGCTATTTATGTTTTTTCTTTCTCTTTCTTTCAATTAACACAAGATTCTCTCTCAGATTTTTTCTTCCTTCTCTCTCCTCCTTTTCTCTCTCTCTTCGAGCAACTCAAGCCCTAGTATTGATGGCTGACGAGAAAGAAGAGTCTCTCTCTCTTCGAGCAACTCAAGGTGATTGTCGTTATTGTATTCATGGATACATGGTGCGAATACATGTGAATACATGCACGTACAACTGGATTGCCTTGATTTTAGGTATTTTTTGCTGCTGTATTCATGAATACAACAACGCGAATACAACGAATACACTACCGTAACTACTGAATAGTAGGTATAGAAAGTAATTATGTATATGATAGCTATAAGAAGTTAATAGCCACTAAACAATAGTGATTTCTGAAAATTCCTCTATAAAGTTTAACATGTGGTCTACAATTCTACCATATAAAACAACTCTCGAGTTAAGAAGAAAGTCTTTAATTATGTTTATAATAAGGAATTTTACCTACGAAGTATGATTTTGAGTCAAGAGAAAGTTCTTTGCTCAATTCATATGGTTTCTCATCTACGTTAACAATTTGATTATTCAGGAGGTCTCTCTTTGTTGGGCTTGCTTGAGAGTTGATATAAATGTGAACTTATCAAAATGGTGGCCCATTTCAAGAAATGGGACCAATGAATTTAAGAGTGTAACAACTGAAATACTTATGCAATTACCTCCGATTTATGTGAACCTATTTTTTTTTGGTCCGTTCAAAAAAAAATGACCCCTTTAAAATTTGGAGATAATTTAGCTTAAACTTAATATTCTACCATTAATGAGAAACTTTTATAACCACATAAATACTTTGAACGCCCTTCTGACTTGTTTAAGACCTTTAGGACCACAAATTCCAAAAGTTTTTATTTTTTCTTAAATTTCGTGCTCAATCAAACATGTTCACATAAATTGGAACGGAGAGAGTACTAACATAACGAAAGAATATATAGAGAGGGTGTACGGCATATCATGTTACACTAGAAAGTGTGTATGCAGTTTCTGAATTATACTGTACTGCGAAATCTGAAATAAATAAAATAATGGAACTTCAAATGTGATTTCCTGCAGCCATATAAGCATGCTGTGAACGGGAACTAGTTGTATTTGCGCCTCTTGCCTCAAGTTCCTCTCATAAACTTCTTAATCTTAATGATTCGTTAAGACATATTGACTTTTTTTGTTGTTCACATGGATAAGTAATAAAGATGAACATATATGTTATAGTATTTCTTTTTCTTGTAATCTTCTAATTTTAAGGAGTAAATTAATCAAGCAAAGCAACTCGCTCTTAAAAATGGTTTCTAAAAGATGGAGACTGGATTATGTAATTATTGATGATTGACTTTTATTGCATATTACAAAGACTAAATGACAGCTGATAAAACACATGCGGGGATAGCTCAGTTGGGAGAGCGTCAGACTGAAGATCTGAAGGTCACGTGTTCGATCCACGTTCACCGCATGCAATCTGTTTTCCTTTTTCATACGCCTCTTGAATTCTTGTCCCTTTCGGCCTTTCAAATGCTAAGTTGTTAAACTAGTCTAGAACTGAAATGGTGATAGTTAACCCTCAGTTAAGGGATAAGATGTTTTCCTCTCTTTTCTTTATTAGTGTCAAACTCATCCAAAAACCGCACAGTCAGCCAACTTCCACGTGTTACAAAATATAATCTATACTCGAGTTCATTAGCTTATTATAAGCTCAAAGGCCTAAAAGAGGAAAGCTACAAAACTGGAACACTCAATTGTTTACAGCAATCGCTCGATAGTAGAACTAATTAATGTCTATACATCTCTACTTCACACCACTTCAACAGCAGTACTATGTAAACTTGGAAAATTTTCCAACAAATCAACAGTAAGCATGGATGTCTTCGGCCGTGGCAATCGGCTTGAATAATATTCGTCAGCTGATAATTGAGGTTTAGCAGTCACACGTTCTGATGTTTTAAGCCACTTAGCTTGCATGTATTTTTGCTTCCGCCATGGCCCCATATGCATTTTCTTCTCCTTCATGCATTTCTTAGCAGCATTGCACAAAATCTTGATTACTGACATTAATCTTTCAATTTTTCCAACAAAGACTTCTGATAGGCATTTCACCAGTTGATTGTACTCTTCGCTTGCTTTGGCTATTTCAAACTCGGCTCGAAAATTTAATTCAATAATAACCCTCACTTCTCCTTTTTTAGGGTTAGAATTGTCCACCACGTCTATGAATGTGTGTTCACCTGTGACATGGTAGAGGAACCAGTCAATGCTAGATCTTTGTCACAGGTTAAAACAAGTTACTGATTTGATTTATACTAGCTCCTTGTAGGTAAAAGAATATCCTAGAACTTTGGTCACAAACTTTTTAATATATTTAATAGTTTCATGGACAAAAATCATGTTGTACTTCACGTGCAGGTTTTTTTTTTTTTTTTACAAAAATAACCATGAATTGTTTTGATATGGAAAGTGTGACTTGAAAAGTCTTATCATACAATCAGGCCAACTTAGGCCTAGAGGCCAGCCACAAGCAAACAATTACACGTTTAATGGAAAGAGATATATTGGTTTCATGTACTATATTTGATTGATAGTAACATTATTTTCTTTGTTCGAAGTAAACATAAATGAAGATTTTTTTAGATAGTAGATATTAATGGTAGCATAGATGAGTAGATGATGAAGCTGTTATAATATTTAAAGCTGTCACGATATATATTTAGAAAACATTGTCTTTTTACTTGATCTTTTCAAATGACATACAGAAACGTCTATGTCAATTTATAATATTTTAAAAAATATTGTTACCTGAGGGAATATCTGGTGAGCTCTTCCATTTAGACTTGCAAATCGCAGAGTTGAAACCTGCATTTTGGAGACGACTACATACCTCTTTCATGAGACAGTTGTGGCAGCCACTATTGACCATTTTACAGCTGCAATTAGAGCAACCATTTTCTGCAGAGTGCTTTGCCTCTTTTATTGTTTCTTTAGTAATGCTTCGAAGCTGTGACTCTAATGACGTCGTCCGGCATAATACAGACTGCAAATAAATAAATAAAAACAAAATAGAATTTGAGTTAACAATACATATGTTCCAAAATAGAAGAAATAAAGAAGTGGAATTCTCAGATAGCTGAATTAAGAATAATAGACCCTTGAGACTTCTAATTCAATTGTTTCCGTTTTGTACAATCTTGATTGCACTACAACTATTTCTTTTTCCATTTTTTGTTTTAAATTTGCGACAACTCACACCATAGGTGAAGTCATGAAAATTCTGCTACCCTCCCACTATAGAACTAAAGGTTTTAAAATTTTCAAGAAATTCTTTAATTTTGATTTGAAAAGTAAATAACAAAGTACCCTTTAAGTTCTTCTATTCATTCTTATAGGAACTGAGAACTGAAGAATTAGTGCTGATTTTTAAACTTTAAAAAAAAAATTGATAAGAAGGCAAAGGCATTATGCATTTCTGAAACCTTTTTTTTGGTTGGGAAAGGAAAAAAGAGTAAGAGGAGCTGAAACTTACTTGTAAAAGTTGATGTTGAGTTTCCCAGAACTGATTGTCTTCAACATTTTCAGAGTTTTCTTTCTCCTCATTTTCATCTTCAACATAATTAACATCATCATTCACACTTTCTAGTGATGAACCTTGACCCTCCTCATCGAGAAAGCTAAAAATTGTGTCAGAAACATTAATTGCAGGCTCGCCGGAAAAATCAGTTTCCCGGTTATCCCACGTCAAAAGCCGGTGACTTAGAGGTCTCCTAGCCATTATTCCGACCAGAAAATAAATATTTGTATTTTGAGTTTTTGATCAATCTTGGGAACTGGCTTTATATATATCATGGCCTTTCCCAAATAACTAGTCTGACGTGGACAAAGGAAGGTTCGTGAAAATGAGGAGTGGAGCCCACATTACAATGGCATAGGAGTATTAACCAACTCATTCGAATACAGTAGAGTGCGAAACAATGGATCCGCGTCAGTCTATGTCAATTATTTCTCAAAAATTCACTTATTTTCTGTGGATATACTCGAATATCCTTGCAGAATTTTTTTTAGAAAACTTGAATATCCTCACCATTAAAATAGTTGTCATGAGCAGCGCATATGAATTGTGGGTCCAACTTGCCTCTTCACCTAAATACAGATGATGTTTTTGGAGGGTACCGCCACAATAGATTGATAAAAATAGAATTTACCTTTTAGCATAAATAATTTTTATATTATTAATGATTTAATATGTTAAAGTATGCTATTTATTATTTTTGTATTACTTAATTAATTTAAATCATTATATTAGTAATTATTTGTTTTTATATATTATCTTAATCTACTTATATAAATAAATTTCTCTTTCAAAAAGGTAAACTCTTAGAATATACTACTACCCTTTTGCCTTGTTACCAAAAAAACAAAAAACTTATAATAATATGTATTCGTTAGGGTTAATATATAATTAATGATGTGTTGACCTGAGCGATTTTGGTTTTGATGATTGACAAAGGAACACATGCATGAACCAGGTCCATGGACAGTGTACACAGGTGACATGCAGAATCAAGCAAAAGGCATGCACGTGAAAGGGATACGTATAAGTGGTTATTTCTGATAATCCTTGAACGAAAATGTTGCATATTTGATAAGAGAACTCTATCCAAGATAAGGAAAGAGTTAGAAGTTGAAGATAACTAAAACTTTTCCACCAAGGAAGAGTAAAGCATTAGACTTCTAGTTAATCCTTATTCTATTAACTCAATAAATATCAGCTTTGTTTTCTTTTACAGGTGATGCACACATACGGAAGTTAAGCACGAATTGAAAGCAAAATAGCAAGGCATTTTGGGAGCAATTTCTATGAGATTTAAGAGTGCGATCCTGAAGCTACACGAACCAGATTGAAGAACCATCTCCATAAAGAGTTTTATGAGTCTTTCTTTATTTCTAGTTCAAAGTGTCGTAGGCTTTTTGAGTTGTACCTTTCAGCTTTCTAAGAAGCAAATTGTACTAGGTACGTGAGTTGTATCTTTCAAGTTAAGAGTTAACTTGAAGTAGTCGCAACAGCCTGTGGTGTGTTGCTATAAAGATTAGAGTTAATCCTTAAGTTTGCAAGAGGTTGTAAACTCTAGTTGTATTGTTCAAGTTAGAGTTAACTTGAAGCAGACGCAACAGCCTTTGGCTCGTTGCTACAAGAGTTAGAGATAATCCTTAGGTTTGCAAGAGCTTGTAAATTTTGTTGTTTGCTCAGAGTTGTAGTGAAGTGTTTGGGAAAAATCCTACTGGGTAGTAGGTCATGGTTTTTTTACCTTTTGAGACGAGTATTTTTCACGTAAAAATTATTGTGTTCTTTACTTTCTGTATTATTTATTCCGCAACTGTAGTGTAAGGAACACATAGAATAACTAGGTCCTTTGATAATCCAGTGCACGTAAAAATTGGACACCACACAAATCACCCCTCTCTTGTGTGGTATTGAAGTATAAAACAATAATTGGTATCGGAGCAGGTTATCATTAAAGAGGCTAACGCCTTAGGAATAGATCAAGATGAGTGCACTACCTGAAAACTGTACAGATCAATCCACCACTAGACCACCACTATCCAATGATCACTACTATTGCTTATGGAATGAGAGATCTAAAAGAAGAAATAGAAAGAAGGAACATGTTCATGATAAGAAGAAACACAACAAAGGGCCATCCAAAGCAATGGTTGCTGCCTGGGAAGAATGTTCAGATGAGGACATTGATGATGAAAATGATGATACTGAAGAGCTCGTATAGCAAGTCAAGAATCTAAAAATGAACCTAATGAAGAATCTTAGATAAGTCTTTTGGACCTAAATGATAAAATTAAATTCCTTTCTAAAGATAGACTATTAGAACTATTGCTAACTTTAATTGATGAATCTAAGAATATAAGTTCTGAAAAAGAACAATTGTCAAAAGAGTGTAACTTTTTAAAAGCAAAGTGCAAAAACCTGGAAATTAGGGCTCGTGAAACTGAAAAAGAAAATACTGTTTTGAAGAACCAGGTTCATGCACTTGACACAACTGTCTTAGAACTTACATCTGATAATCTAAAATTGAAGTTAGGAACATGTAAAGAAATAGCTAGTGTCACACAACTCTGCCACGACCCAAAACTCCCTCCGTAAGATGTCGTGACGGCACCTAGTCTCTGCGACTAGGTAAGCCTAAACAAATGCGGAAATAACAAAAATGGAAGTAAAACTTAACAACTAACTGCAACAGATAACTAAATAACTGGTAGCAATACTACTCGGCATGTACAAAAACCAACACTCTAGTAGTACACAATATTCCCAAAACACGGAACATCATAAGTCACAAGCTACATAAGGAAACTAGTATCTCTATACACCAGAGTCTAATAAAATAAGTACGGAAGTTAAATGACATAGGAGAGAATAGAGGGGGACTCCGAGGTCTACGGACGCGGCAGATGTACCTTGAAGTCTCCGTACAACAGCAAGCATCCTCAACTAGTAGCGGGGTTGATAAGAGGTGCTGGATCTGCACACAAAAACATGTGCAGAAGAGTAGCATGAGTACACCACAGCGGTACCCAGTACGTGCCAAGCCCAACCTCGGTCGAGTAGTGATGAGGTCGGGTCAGGCCCACTGGTATATAATAAATAAAGCAGGTGAATATAATAGTATATGAAGAGACTGGAATTTAACAAAAGGAAAACACAGCAAAAATAGCAGTACAACACACAGGGGGTAAACAGTAGGGGATCTCCCGAGATACCGTCTCGTAGTCCTAAAGTAAATAAGCAAAGAGATCTCCCGAGGTACCGCCTCGTAGTCTCAAAAGTAAATGTGCAGGGAGAACTCCCGAGGTACCGCCTTGTAGTCTCAAAAGTAAATATGCATGGAGAACTCTCGAGGTACCGCCTCGTAGTCTCAAAAGTAAATATGCATGGAGAACTCCCGAGGTACCGCCTCGTAGTCTCAAAAGTAAACATACAGCTCAAACCAATAAATACAATAGTTAACAACGAGAATTCTACAGTTAAGACTGATAAAGAATAAGGAAAAATAGGAAATCAACTAGGCATGTTGCAAAAAGTTCAAGTAAGTAGTTAAAGCACATAGACATGCGATATTAGATTAAACATGATAACTATACATGTTGGTATAACTCAATTAAGAATGAAAATAGGTTACTACTTAGTAAAGATGGGGTTTTTCAACAATAGCCCGTGTACGCACCTGTCATCTCGCGTACACGATGCTCACATATCACAACAGTACCAAATACTAAGGGGATTTCCCCCACACAAGGTTAGGCAAGCCACTTACCTCGAACCAAGCTCAATCAATCCGTAAGAATGCCCTTTCCTCGATTATCTGACTCCGAATGGCCCAAATCTAGCCAAACACAATTACATATCATAAATACAACTATAATAGACTAATCTAATTAATGAAATCAAGACTTTAACAAGAAATTCAAAAATCGCCCTAAAAAGTCTACCCGGGCCCACGTCTCGGAATTGGGTAAAAGTCACAAAATATGAACATTCATTCACTCACGAGTTCATTCGTATCAAAATTATCCAAATCCGATATCAACATCCCAATCAAAACTCAAAAACTTAATTAAAGAACTTCTCCCATTTCCCCCAAATTTCTCAACCAAATTCCTTAATTAAATGATGAAATCAACTATAGATTAGTGGAATATAACCATAAACGAGATAAGAATCATTACCCCAAAGTTCTCTCTGAAAAATCCTTGAATTATCGCCTCAATCCGAGCTCTCAAAGACCTAAAAGGAAAACGAGGTCAAACCCTCGAAATTTCCCCTTCTCTGCCCCAGCGATCTCGCACCTGTGGACCTCTAGTCGCACCTGCGACGCCGCACCTGCGATGCCGCACCTACGATGCCGCACCTACGAAAATTCCATTGTAGGTGTGGAAATGACTTAAGAGGACTGGGTCCGCTTCTGTGATGAGGTGGCCGCACCTGCGCGCCCGCTTCTGCGTTCTCTTCACCGCTCCTACGAGTCTGCTTCTGTGAGACTCTAACCGCTTCTGCGATCCCGGCTGGGCAGGCCCGTAATCGCTTCTGCGGCTCGATGGCCGCTTATGCAGTGCCGTACCTATGACCCAAAATGCGTAGGTGCAATTACACTAGGTGCATCAACTTCAGCCAATCCAACACATTTCCAAATGATCTGTTAACAAACCGAAATCTACCAGAGGCCCCCGGGGCCTCAACCAAACATACCAACAAGTCCTAAAACATATCATACGAACTTAGTCAAGCCCCAAATCACACCGAACAACAATAAAAACACGAATCACACTCCAAATCAAACTTAATGAACCTAAGACTTCAAACTTCCACAACCGATGCCAAAACCTATCAAATTACGTCCGATTGACCTCAAATTTCGCACACAAGTCATAATTGACATCGCAGACCTACTCCAACTTTCGGAATCAAAGTCCGACCCCGATATCAAAAAGTCCACTACCGATCAAATTTCTCAAAAATTCAACTTTCACCATTTCAAGCCTAAATCAGCTACAGACCTCCAATTCACATTCCGGAAACGCTCCTAAGTTCAAAATCACCCAACGGAGCTAACAAAAACTAAAAAGTCCATTTCAGAGTTGCCTTCTCATATTTCCAGCTACAGTCAAAATCCTAAGACTTAAGCTTTCGTTTTAGGGACTAAGTGTCCTAAAACACTCTGAAACTACGAACAAAACCTCCCGACAAGTCCCATAACCAGAAAAAGATATGAGGGAAGCAGTAAAGAGTTGATCAGGGCTATTACTCT